AGGCGCCCCCGCCGCGCTCAGGGGAGGGGCCCCGGTCATGGCGGCCCCGCCCCCGGGGCGCTGTGGGGGACTGTGGGGCCCGGGTGTCGCGGCACCTCTGGCGGGAAGCCTCTGTGGCCCTGTTAGCGCCACCAGTGTGGTTTGGCCTCAGGCGATAAATGCTCGTGGTCGAAAGGAGTGATGGGAGTCATAGGGGAGCCTGCAAGCAGTCAGAAAGTTTTATTAGTGTTACACGCTTGGCGTGGGAATTGGTTCGGTCGTCCCTGACCTACTGTGTAAGCCCACGGCCATGGGTTTTGGATAAAGGGCCAGGGTGAAAGGAAAGAGAGAAAAGATGAATTAAAGAGGGGGTGAGGGGTCAGAGAGAGGAAAAGAAAAGAAAAAATAAAATTAAAAAAGGAGGGAAAAGAGAAGAGGAAAAAGAGGTGCTGCCCAGGCTTGGAGGGGGGTACCTTTTCGTAGACAAGTTTCTCTATTTCTGTGCAAATTAATTATTATGTGCAGGTTGTTCTTTCAGATCTTTTGGGAAATAGCTCAGAGGACTTTGAGGGACTTGGATGGTCTTGATCTCCTCCCACAGTCCATGCCCACATCTGGCCCTCATTCCTGTGCTTGTGTGTAATACTGTGTTGTGCTCATCTCCAGGAACTACAACAAAGCTGTTTGTCCTGGAAAAGTGCCACCCTCCCTCCACATGGCCCCTGTCTCCAGCCACATTTTGTTCTTTCTCACAGAGTGTTAACAGCAGCAATCCTTGTCTGTTAGTGCAAACAATCCTTGGTTGGCTCTGTGGCTAGCCCGCTATCATTTTTTGAGACACATTATCTTCTGGGGTTCTACACCCGATCAGCCTGCTCAGCCTACTGTGGTTATGTGATGGCTGTCTAGACCCAAGCTTTCCTGCCACTGATCTTCCCAAGTGCTGGTTCTAGGCTGTACTTGTACCCTTGCTCTTCATCCACTGTCACTTGAGAGTGCACATACTGGGATGCAGTTTGGTTTCACCCACTTAGCCTTTTTGTTGCCTTTAGTGACAGCCCATGTGCTGTCAGAACGCTGCTCCTTGCCCTTTCTTCCTTTGGGTATCAATTCTCTCCTTGAGTTACTTCTTCATGGCTGCAGAGAAGTCCCACTGACTTCCATCTCCTTGATCACCTGCTGTTGGCCCCCTTTATTTGTTTTACCTCCTTACTTTCCATGGATTCTTGCCTTTCTCATTGCACACAGCAGTTCACCCCTTACTAAAGAACACTGCTGACTCCATTTATTCCCTGGCAATTACTGCAGCTCCTTTTTCCTGTCACTAAGATAAATGATTATGCTGTTTGCAGTTGTAGCTATTCTGTTTCACCCTCGATCTTGTCATAATACACTTCTCTCTCATTTGTCAAAATAGTTAATGATTGGTATAGTCCTAGAAAAATTGCAGTGAACTGAGTAAATGTCCTCATTGCCCTTGACCAAACAGTCATGAGCGAGATGACCTCCAGCTCCAGGGTTTAAACTGGAGTTGGAATTGCAGACTATTTTTGTCTGTGAAGACTTACTTTCACCACATCTGCTTCAGTGGCCTTCATCTCTGTTAGAGCCATGCTGGGACAACTTGCCAGAACTTTTCTTTAGGACTCAGCCTTGATCTGTGTCAGTAGTGAAACATACAAGAATTACGCATAGCCTTGTTTTCCTCCTGCTTCTTAACTATTTTGATGTCATCACAAAATGTTTGGGGTTTTTTTCATCTTATATGTCCATTGAAATAATTTTAGTTTATTTGTTTTGCTTCTTGCAAAACAAAGCAAGAATGCATCTTGGAATGATGTCTTCCTAAAATTCTAAGTTCTCCTGACATTAAGATAAAAGTCCAAAGTAATAATGAATCAAAATATATCACATTTTTCTCCAGTCGCATTCCCTGCATGCACACACAGATAACTAATTAAAAGAAGCAGGAATCTGATAACCTTTAAATTCCAGGAAGAAGAGTTGTTTGGACCCTTCATCCACTTCTGTGAAGCCCCACTGAGACAGCAGGGTTTGGCATGGGCCAGTCTGACCAGCAGACCAAAGCAGTTAAAGGCTACATGAGAAAATTGTTCACGGAGTTAAGGTTGCTAACCAAATGCTCTGCTGGAAACTCCCTCTCTTGTAGAACAAGTTGAATTCTACCTTAGACACTCTTGTAACACATGGGGATTTGCCTGGAAGCATACCTCAACTGTATGGTTCTCATTTTCCTCCTCTGAAGAACAAAGAGCAATAAAACGACACAGAAAAGTAACAGTACATTACAAAGATATTGAAAGGGTTAAGTAATTAGCAAATCAATATGCTATTTATTAAGTCTATTACTGTACTGGAATGTGAAGCATTATCCATTTTTATTTTTTTTTACCCCAGAACCTTGTAATCTGCTTGCTTGAGGGCATAGAAACATACACAGGTAGTAAATTAGTGACAGCCTAAGTCCTTCTTGAAAAGCTGCCACTGGTGTTTTCTTCTTTTCTGCCTGTTTTGCTCAGAAAAGAGAAACACTTTGATGGAAAAGAAATCAAACATGTAGTTGTTTCCTCAGGCTGCAATTCTGTAAATCTGTTGGAAAAGAAAGGTTATGTTGGGAAAATTTTATCAGCAATCTGTCCATCATTGCTATCCAGCCAGGTGCAGTTGCATCATGTTTTGTATTCCCAGGTGCAATTAAAAGGAGAAAACAAATACAATTACTGACATGTAATAAATTCATTTGCCCTTAGGCTGACATCTCTAAATAAATATT